AAGTTTGTTATTCAAGATACAGTTTTAAATATCGAAAGAAACATAAATTCTGTCATGTTTACGAATATACTTTATTGATATGAACTTACCTTTATTCGTAACTGTCAATGGTCTTCCAGCCTGAGAATAATATTTCACTGTCAAGTCACTTTAGTAAGTGGCCGCTTGATAGAAAGTAAGAATTGCATAATACTAGATTTCTCACTCATCAATCCCTGATTATATCGTGTTTACAATAAATTTATTTTAAAATTGACATGCGTGTGTCATTGTGTTTATTTTCATTTTCATTTTTGTTACAAACTTTTATGATAGGTCCTTAATTTTAATAGTTTCAATGGTTATTATTCGTTGGAATCCATGTTTGTGTTGCTTACCATGCATGACTTTTCATTTTGGTCATTCTTAGGAATCTCATGCAGTGGTGAGGATTTTTCAGGTACTTCATAGTGTCGAAGAAGTTTCCACAATCTTTCGTCTAAGCTTCTGAATACTGTCTCATAGTCAAAGAACTTGATGCACAGTGGTGAGTTCTATCTAAATAATTGCTGAACAATGATCTACAGTGTCGCAATTTAAACGTTAAATAATTTATCCTTAAGAAAACCGGCTTGTTAGTTTTGAAGTAGGATGTCTACTGAATCTTTTATCTTTTTTGACATCAGTATTGACGACTTTGCTTCGTGTTGAAAGTATTGTGATCCCTCTAACATCATCACACTAATTAAGATCTCTTTTCCTCAGTATCGTTATGAGGTATACTTCTTTCTAGACCGTCGTTACTTGTTTTTCCCTCCGAATCTTCCTAAAGCGAACATGAAACATCTATGAAGTCACCTTGATATATGACTTTGATATATAACCATTCTGTTGAATGCATAGATTTACCAGTCTTTTATCATTCTTGTTCTTTTCTTATAATTTATGTCACCTAAAGATAATTTCATTTCCGGTGTTGTCTACTCAGATACTGACATTTCTTTCCCCCATCAGGATTGTCAGTTCTTTTTCTGGGCACTTCTGTACTATAGACTGGTGCCTCTCACTTAACTGATCTTAATTGCTGTTGTGTGCGTACACTGGGTTACTTTCACCGAAATCCTCTCCTTTTTTTGCTTTTTGACTTTGGAGATTTGAGATTGTTATCCCTGAAGTGCTTTTCATGCGTCTTTGAGTATTATCAGTCCAATTGATTGTGTGTTGGGAAATTTCTTCTCCGTAACCAGAATACAACAAGTTAGTCTTCTCTCTCCAGATTGTGGTCGAGTTCCCATCATCCCAAGCATGACTAGGTTGTATGTCCTCATTCCTACTGCTATTTGGATGGGCCATCCGGTCCTCAAAATTGTCTGAACATGTTATCCAATCACATTAGTTGTTGCTCTGATCATTATAAGTGACGCAGACCTCGTAGCCTTTTTATTATCTAGGCATTTGCAGTGAGGTATCATAATTCTTCTATATGAAAACTATTTAGTTGTTTTCCTCTGTTTAATAGGTTTATTTTGTTTTTGTAACGCGAGATTGTTAACTTTACATTCAACTGTCTTCCTTGTTCTGGGCTTGGGACTAGCAATTTAGAGGTAAACATTCAACAAATACTCTTAACCTTGGTTCACGCTTATTATACTTATTCGATTGTAGAATCTGAAAAGTTACATATTACTGCTATTAAAGTCATATAACACCGAATCAGTTTATGAAAACCTATTTTTTTATCATTTGGACACATGTTAACTATAAATTAATAAGTTCTTTGATGATTAGATTTTTTTCAGGGCATGTTACACCTGTTAAGTGTTGTATCTAAGGTCATTAAACAGCTAATGTCATTTAAAATAAAACCATGATGATGTTGAACATTGTGATCATTATCGTTTGAAGTATGGAATAGTGCACTTTCACTATATGACTGTCGAAGTCTCAGATACATTGTTTCTATACTTTATAAAACAGCTATTTGATCTTATTTTCAGAACAACTTGTATACGTATAACCTTATACGATATCAAACTTAAAAACTTTTAGTCTTACGGTGTTCGTTTTCCTTTAAATCAGTGTCATAACAGTTTAAATTTAAAACAGGATTGTTCACCCATTGCTTTATATGGAATTTGAGATATTCTCCATCATTCCGTTAGTTTAGCATGATTTCCACTCAACATATCCGTCCGGCAATGTTTGTTTATCTCATTAACTTAAGTATAAATATCTAATCAAGTATTATTTAAAACAAACTCTTTATTTCCGGTGTTTCACACCGTCATAGTTATAACGTTTGAAAAAATTTCGCTAAATTATTGTTTAAAATTTCTTTGGTTGTAAAAAGTAATTTTCAAACACTTACTTAAATTTTCAGTAAGAGCTTTCGAGATTTGTGTTTTTACACATTTGAAATAATCAATCAATCATTGTTAGACCAACATTAGAAACCTGGAAGCACTGGACGGCCGTTTCGTCCTGGTATGGGACTCATCAGCAGTGCGCATCCACGACTCCTGCACCTCGCAGGATTTGAACCCGGGACCTTCGGTATTGTGCATGAACGCTTAAGCATCGGACCACTGAGTGGGCATCCAACTCACTTAATAAATACAATTTTCTCTGTTGGATCAATCTTTTCCTTGTACTGTAAAACCTAATAAATAAATAAATCTATATATTAGTTAGAGAAAAATTTTCATTAGTTTCAAAAGACTTTATTTTACACGAACAACTACTGACACTTAAGATGTGACATAGTTTAGTTTAAATGCCTAAACTTTTTTTTTCAATCATGAATCTCATATACATTTAATTGAGGCAAATATATTTGTCTTGATGTTTACCCGCACTCTGATTTAAATGACAAACAGTGCAAGTGTATAATATTAATTTTTTTTCAAAAAAGAACGTTTATTTTAATTGCTTGTCTACAATCAGTTATTAACAGTAACAGAATGGTTAGTGTTTTTTTGTGGAGATAATCAAAAATACATGCTGATATTTATTGATAAACACAATCTATTGACCTATGTTAACATTTTGTTTCTACGTTTTACGGTACTTATATCTTATGCAAGTGTAAACTTGTTTGAAAATAAATCAGTTAAATACAATTATAAAATATAAAAAATAATACTTAGATATTAGATATGATTTCGATAGTCAGTGTTTTTCTATGCACAAACATAGATTTATCTATATTGAAGTCATATTTCATGACTGATGCATAAATTGAGTATCAGTTGGAACGGTTAATCATTTACTAAAAAAATTAATTGTTTTAATTCTACATGAAAATTATCAAGAGCAAAAATAAAAATTGAACAGTGATGATGCTGCACAAGGAATTCTACACTTTAAATGATACAATAATCTTCAAACGATTTTCAAGTTCGAATGAATTTCAGGTGAGTAATGCATTGAAAATTAATTCACAGGTTATAAGTTAAACAATGCGGCATTTAAAGCGTAAAACATTTACAAGAAAGAAAATTTAATAAGTACGCTCATTTCTGACAATGATAAGCCATTTAGTGTCCTTACAATTTCACTAGTGTAGTCACAGATATATTTGAAGGTATAAACATATTTATGGCCATTTCAGAGTAGAGGTGATCGTCGATGTGGCAAACAAACGATGTCAGTGATTTTTTTTTTGACGAACACTTTGCTACAAACTATTCCGGAATCTCGAAGACTTACTGGTAAAGTAATTCAACAAAAGGAAACATTTAGAATGCTAAAGAGTCACAAATGTTTTAACGAGGCATTTCTGTATATTGGATTGCATCAGTGGATATAAAAGAATTTATTAGGCGATTTGAAGAATGGTTTTAAATTTAATTTAAGTATCCGCTTCCAAAAAGGGTTAATTTCAAGTTTACTACATCTGGATTTATGGTTTAAGGTACAACAATCACCAATTATGTGGATTACAAAATACGTCTGAACAGGTTCTAACCTTAATTTATTTTTTATAAGGACACTACCAAGAAAAAAAATACTGTGTTCAAACAGTGGTCGGACAAACACTTTGTACTTTAAACTACGATAATCATTGTTGTAGAGGTTACAAAGTAGGCAACACATAAGTGGTTGATACATAGAAATCGTTTTTAGGAAACTGTTCTGGAATCGGCAAAATATGAAAACATTGTACTACAAACGTAACGACATATAATCGTCGAAATGTTATAAACGAAGAATATACTTTTTTCCAAAGAGTGTAGGAAAGTAACATAGTAATCAAATATGCATAGGTTTACATGATTTTAGATCCAAGAAGACGTTGTTCAGTGCCTGAATACTTACATTTGAAACTACTTTTGAATAACATGTATAATTAACATTGAAAGCAAAAATTTTGATAGGTTCAGAAAACATAATGAGGCATTATAGAAGTACGTGTTTTTTGTACCAAACCTTTAATACCGATGTACGACAGGAGATTCTAAGAATAGTTGAAATGTCTATAAGGAATCGTTGACAATTCAAAAAACAGCTTTCTGAAATTAATGAACTACTTGGTAATCCGATTAAAGCATACAAAGTTGGTGACTACATGAGAATTTGTTAAGTATAATAGTTAACTTATTTGTGTTTCAGAATCACCTCTCACTCTAGTCATATTTACCCAGTTTGGTTTCCTCCGAGTACTGCCGATGAATTTTCAAACGATTTATTGTCAACTTGATCAAATGATGGTTTTATTTGTCATTTAATCCAAACAATTGTAGCAAGTTAGCATGGAAGGCAATAATATTCAATTGTATTGTAGCTTATCTGATAGATAAATTCAGCATTGGAGCGTATTTTCTTTGATGAAACAGTTAAACTTCCACTTGATTATTGTTTAATCGAAGATAGAAAACCAGTAAAAGTGATCCTTTTCATATTCTAATGTTTTCAAATTGATAGCTGGACACATTTAAATTTTTTTTTTAAAAACATAGCTTACTTAACCAACACTTACTGAGTTTATCTTACAGTAAGTATTTTGTAAAATATCGCTCATAATGTCAATATTATTGAATGAAAATTTGTGTGATTGTATTCATTTCTGTTTATTAAATGATCAGGTTAGTTTCTGGATAACTTAAATTAACAAATCTTTACTCTTTTTGATGTATAATGCTAAATTATCCTACAAAATAATTGATCTATCCCTTTTAAAATGGTCTGTTTATTGGAAACTTTCACATGTTCTTAGTGAACTGATGACATCATTATACTGAAAACGCTACTTTATGTAAATGTATCAGAACTCTACATCGAACACTATCGATTATCTCCAAATGAAATCAACATCAGAAATTAACCACAAGGATAAAATCAAATTGAAATGCATTTGTTTTTGTACTTATCGTCATTTCACTACAAACTGTCCGTTTGTTTTTATGCATTCATTTTACTGCTGATAACAATTAGATGACCTGTTTGAATTTTTACTTTATTTCATTTTCTAGTTATCATAAATAAGAAGTAACATTGATAATAAGTAATAAGATTATCATTATTTCTGTGATTATTGTTAATTAGTACAAAAAGAAAAGAAAAAAATGATTTATGTGTATTTGTTTAAATTAACTGCCAGGGTCCATAGACTAACTATATGACTATTGAATAAATGACATTGACTACTTCTTAGTTAGGTGGATACATCTATTTGTGCATATTCATATACATATACGCATACTGTGTCTATGGTTGTAAGAGTATGAAGATTGAATGAATTTCACTGTACTAAACACTATTTTCAATTCAACATAAAGATTTAATCAAAATGGTCTGATTCACTATGACTGTATGTAATTTTTTTTTTAAATTAATCTATCAACTAATCATAAATATTATAATTAAAATGAATATTAGTATTGGTCATTGCAATTACACACAAAATAAACCATACATTTTGAAAACACTTAAAGGGGACTGAACTACACAAATATACACGTACCTATACAACTACTGTTAGAGAGACGGACAAGCGGATAGCCTACTAATCAGCGATTGCTTTCATATTAGAAATTAACACATAGACCATTGAGATTATAGATTATCAACCCACAAAAAAATGTGTCAAAACTTGAATCTATCTGTTTGTTGGTTTGTTTGTTTGCTTGCTTGCTTGTTAATTTTTGAATGTTAGTCAATAAAAATTTATGATTATTACTGTTATCTTTACTAGTATTATTGTTTTCATTAGCTAGAAATAAACAAAAAATCTATATAAGTCATGGTTAAACGGTTTTTTTAATTTTACCATTTCGTGTATGTAACTATTTCATCTAAAATTATTACTGTAAGTTATTCATAATAATAATAATAATAATAATAATAATAATAAAAACAACTCTTCTCAACAATTTTGTTTTCACTTTTTTGGCTTGTCAACTTTGTGTACGTGTATATATTACACTGTATGAAATGTTTAAGCAAATAAGATGATTCCAGCCAGAAAAAAACTTGTACATCTTGATCTTAAAGTAATAATTAAAGTATTAGTTGTGTCGACTTTTTTTCTGTGGTTCATTGGGATAATTCTATGCTTAGTCATTCCTATTGATAGGAAACGATACTAAATAAAGAGAATATTGACACAATCGGTTGTTAAAATCAAAAGTTTGTAGTTTAATCAACCCATGTCATGGCATATATTCTTCACCTTCAATGAATTATCTTTAATTAGAAATGATTTAGTTTATTCAACATGTACTATAATGACGAGTTATATATATGTGTATATATATATATATATATATATATATATATATAGAACTAAAATATATTTCCTGGATTCCATTATTAGTCTCCTACTAAAATGTACTAGAAATAAGTAAAAAGCATCAATTTAAAGATAGTGGTACATTTCATATGTACATATTCTTGTTCAGTAATACTCTAGTACTAACACGTATGTACAACTGTACACCACAAAATTGTCTTCTAATAAAATCGATATTGCGCGCGCGCGAGAGAGAGAGTAAACATTAAAAATTTCATCTACTAGTGTCTTAATGAAACATTGTTAATTGTTCATTGGAATTGTTATGTCATGTGTATTTTAGATTTCGTTGAAATAATAAAATTTATTGAAATGTGGAGTGATTGACTGAAGACCAAATGATCATGTATTTGTTATGAATGATAAATTTATCATATAAATATAAATGAAATGCTAACATTAAAACTTGAATTGTTTGCTAAGTGATCATTAGATATGTACTCTTGCATTTTATTATATCATTGTGTCAGTAATAATAATAATAATAATAATAATCTGTATTCGTGCATTAGTTTTCGTATAAATTTTTGTATAACACTTTCCATTGTCTTAATTAATTAGGCAAATAAATAAAACAATTAGAAAAGTTCTGTGAAAAAAATTTTCCCCTATAACTTCTCAACCATTTGTTTCACTAGATACTTTTACTCTTCGTTTGACTAATTAAATTCAGTTAACTTGATCAAATTGTAACTACCATTATATTCGTCTACAGAAATATATTTTCTGTTTATAACATCACATTAATTATTTTGTTTGTCAGAAGAACACTTCTGAAACGGAACACATTTAGTTTTAGGATTTATAGTTGTAGACACATATAGACTTATATACACTATAAAATTTGACATTCAGTCGTGAGTTGATGTCGTATCCAGTGGTGAATTTCGAAGATAAATATGTGATGAAGCATATTATGTGCAGCTTATATTGTACAACATGAAAAGATTGTGAAATCTTGCGGGAGAATTTATCGCCTACATGAATGCTTTGTTCGTGTTGTACTTGCTGAATAATGTGACAGTTTCGCAAAGCTTTCATTATCCTTCTAAATAATATCATCAGAGGTTACTTCAAGTAGAATTACGTTTTCATTTTCTATTTCATCATTTCTGCATCACAAGTTACGGACTGAGTGGTTTATTTTAACTTGATATCATCAATCCCGAACGATACTTATAGCTTAGGAGGAAATAAACATCACCTTACATTAAGGTGTGAAGAAAAATATTGAAACAAAAATATTGAATAACTTGGTAAATTTAAGTAGACAAAATAAATCATACTTCGTAACTTGAATACTATTAAAAGTGTTAGTAGTTAATAACTAACAAGAAGAAAGATATTCGAGTTTTCGGTATGAACTGGAATTAAAAAAAATCACATTAACATTTAAGTCCCTATTGACTGATAATCATAAATGATCTATTTAAAACATAATCATGACTGGTTCCTATAAAGTAAATTAAAATTTTAAAGACTACGTATGAATACAAGTTTGAAAAGAGATAAATGCAACTAAAATAATCAGCCTGATTAACTATTTCAACAATTTTGAGAATCATCAAGGATATCTTGATAAAACTATCTCTAAAAAAATATATATATATATAAGCCATCATTGACTAGTTATTACAGATGTAGAGTCTGTTCAGAATATAATGGCATAAATATAGTAGCATATAAAATATTTGATCTAAAGTGAATGGCACAATGTGACACTTTACTACACTACAATAATAATTAATCTTACCATGAAACAAGAATTCGTTTGCCTACATGAAAAAAAAGCAAAAGAAAATCGTATAAAATCATTTTCTGAGAAGAACATTACTCGTAAGGACTAATTTCACTGACTTTTAGCAGCGAAACGAAACATTAATGTATATTCACTAGTTTTTCTGCCCCTATTAACTTATGTGACTGAATCTAAATTATACACTAATCTTGTTATAATGATGCTATTCGAACCATATCGGAATTGTAAACGTACTTAATATTTCGGTTACAAGTAGTTACATTGTTTCCGACTATGAGTTACGCTGGATATCAGCCGAAAACCAAGGAACACTGGAAATTTGAGTGTGTAAGGCAGCTGACCTGTTATTCTAATAAGTATTATGTCAGCTCGATTATTATTATGGTTTGTATTATCCCTTTTGAATGAAATTTAATCCGTCTTGATCAGTATCCGGCTGATGAGTTCCGAAATGGGAAGGAAGACATGTCTTTGATTTCGTCCCACTTATTTGATAATAACTTTTTATATTGGTTAGTTCATATGACCTTATTTTCGACTGGTTATGTTTGTAGGTTGAATGTTTTTGTTGCTTTCTCTGTGAATGTAACAGTGAACGATAATAATCAAACCAATAAAGACAACCAATCACAAACAAAGCTATTAGAATGAACTAATAGTAACACTTGTGGAATAATTTAAAAGCTCATCTCTCTCTGTTTAAAGTAGGCGCTGATGATTGAAAATAATAATTGAACAATTTGATATTTCATTATGAATAAAAACAATCTAATTAGGAATATTTTTTCGTTAAACCTAACACACTAAGATCATAAAGAGATAAAATGCATTTCTTTTAGTCGGGCTTCTCTTCAATTGTTTATCATCGACAAAAAAGTTACACATTTTTGAAACCATGAATCTATCAATGTTAGACCACCATTAGAAACCTGGAATCACTGGACGGCTGTTTCGTCCTGGTATGGAACTCATCAGCAGTGCGCATCCACGACTCCTGCACCTCGCAGGATTCGAACCCGAGACCTTCAGTATTGTGCGTGAACGCCTAACCCCTGGACCACTGGGCCGGTATCTAACGGTGTTAATGTCTAATTTGATCAATTCACGGTTTCAAAAATGTGTAACTTAACAATCTTCACAACCCCGTAATGAACACAAAAAAATTCTCATTAACAGAGAATTTTCTATAAGGGTTGTTAATGTTACAGGGTTAACAAAGTAACAAATAATAAATGTAAAAGAATTTTAAGAAAATATTTTAATCTAATTGGCTATTTTCAAAGTATGTGAATCTTTTAAATGTAAAAACTAAAGAAGCAAACGAAAGAAGACGAATCATTTTTTAAATGGTAACTTATTACTATAAACCACATAATAATGACTACGAAAAGAGTCTCACTGATAACATTAAATGAGCTGAGATCCCACTGTAGACAAGAATATTCCATTCGAAGTATACTTGAAATTAACTTACATCTATTTTCATTTACTAACCGATTTCATTTACTTCACTTTCTTGAACTTTGATTAGGAATTTTTTGTAAACGCGATGTAATGTATTGACACTAGGTTTTTTTTCATCAACACAATCCATTGCGTTGTTTTAGTTTAAAAGTAAATGCAGTAAATTCATTGTCTTTAAAGACAAGAACGATCGTAATACTTTAACAATCAGTTCGTTGGTCATATTTAATGGCTTATATTGTTCGTACATTGGAATAGTGACTCGTAGAGGAATGGAGAGCAGGTGTTTCATTTTACTTTTGCATTAAATGTTCATATTCACATTAAGACTCGAACAAAATGTTTATAGCGCTTTCTTAAAATAGAAAAATATCTTAATTTGTTAACATTTTAAAGTGTTATCATCAATTCGAACTTTACCTATGTATGTGTGCTTGCTCGTGTATGTGATTAACACAGGGAAGTTGGTAAGGAAAAATGAAGTGAAGAGTTGTCCAAAAGAAAAATAAATATTTTGATAATTATGTAATTTCTAATTAAATACAGGAAATTATTTACAATTCCGTTTTTGTTTTCTGTTTATTTAATTCATACATGATTAATAATTCAATGAGATAATTATGTTTTAAGACAAAAATATCATCAAAAATTATAAATTCTTTTCCTTTGTTCTAGTTGACGAGAATAAGTATAAATAGATTTAGACTAAAAATTTCAGAAAAGCATATAAAGATGACCGATATATATATATATATATATATCTTTTCATTACAATAAATGTTTTCGTTAAAAATTAAATTAATTAGTCAATCTTGAGTAGTATCAGGTCATTTAGAATCGGATAAATAACGGAAGTGTTGAACTTTACGCTTAAACGCCTAGTTTAATGGTTATCTATGTCTTCTTGAAATGATTGTGATAATATTACTAGTGTTAGAATAATATTTATTATGATAATAATAATAATATTTATTATTATTATTATTAATTATATCATTATTTCAACTTCACACATATTAGGTTCTTTTAAAATACGTCCTTTTATACTTGATTGCATATTAATTCGTTTATGTTTTGTTTTACGGCTATGATAAAGAAAAATAGTGTAAATTTGTTTAAATAAAGTCTAAGTATCAAATATCCCATGTGGTGAAACAATCCTTCCAGGTAAACATGAATAAAGAAAAAGAGTGGTTGTGATAAAATCAGAATTATTTCCGCGTATTTGGTTAAATAAGGAGAAGCGTGTAAATGAATTGATAGATATTTGGAGTAATAATTCCAAAAGTAACATGGTAATGTTATTTGTCTGAGCAATGAATGCATACTAGCAAGAAATTTGAGGGATAGAGAAACTTAACAGCATGGTGATACTTTCTTTTGAATCATTCTTCATAGCAGCATATATGCCTAAACTTTATGATTGAAGGATGAATTCGAAATCTATAAAATACATAAATTTACAATTATATTTGATATGGTTAACGCTTGATTTCAGTGAAATCGTTTGTTTGACGAATATTCATACAAAATATACCTACCTTTATATCTTTGTTCTTGTCAATAGCCAGATGCTTTTTTTCTCTTTGACACTTTAATTTTTATGTTAAATGTGGATTTGTATGTCTAACTAGCGACGAAAGAAAATCTATAATAAAACAATAAAAAAAACCGCTATGCTGATGATCAGAGATAATAATTGTACAAATCGAAGCTATTCATCAAACATATCACTTTTTTTAAACACTTTATACGAGTCAATCTAACTTCTGGATCTGATTAATTTTCTTATAAACAACATGAAGAATAGGTGAAGTAGTGAGCACTACTTATACCAGTTCATTTTGACTAAATAAAATTAAAATTACAATAAATTTGGCTTCTATGTATTTTGACAAGAAATCACTATAATTGACTATATTTAATGAAATACAAAACATGAAAGCTTATTTTTGACTAACTGATAATTTTACACTGTTTATTCTTTTAATGATTTGTATTTAAGCCATCATCATCATCATCATCATCATCATCATCATCATCATCATCATCATCATCATCATCATCATCATCATCATCATCATCATCATCATCATCATCATCATCATCATCATCATCATCATCATCATCATCATCATCATCATCATCATCATCATCATCATCATCATCATCTCATCATCATCATCATCATCATCATCATCATCATCATCATCATCATCATCATCATCATCATCATCATCATCATCATCATCATCATCATCATCATCATCATCATCATCATCATCATCATCATCATCATCATCATCATCATCATCATCATCATCATCATCATCATCATCATCATCATCATCATCATCATCATCATCATCATCATCATCATCATCATCATCATCATCATCATCATCATTCATCATACTAATCCTATTAGCAGCAGCAATAATTTCTGTTTTTATTTTCAATTCTTAAAAATAAATGCCAAATTAAAACGGTAGTTGAAGAAAACAATGTAAGAATATCTAAATTTATTATTAGTCAGTGCGTTTATGTTGTTATTATTATTATTATTATTAGTGAATTAAGTACACAGTCCATTGACTTATTTATAATTTTTCTCATACTACTAGTAATAATAATAATTATTGTGATTATCAGAAATAATATTATTTTCACAGTGTTGTATCTTTTCATCTGGTTAATTACAACCAAAAAATAACGTTGAGAATCAACAAAATAAATCACAGCTAATAGGTTTATCAGTGTATGTTTTTTATTTTTAGATAATTGTAAATTTTTTTTAAAAATCATTTCCCTAGTGATTTGTAGTTTATGTTTATGTGTTCTATGGTAAATCTTTTTTTTATTTTTGTATACACATCTAATCAACTCACTAGTTAACAGACTAACTAACTCATTTATTCACTCTATACTACTTTATCCATAAACACAAACAAACAAACATACAAAGCAACATTTCAGTATCATCTATGTATTTAACATAATAATAACAGATTATGTTGTATGTTGAATAATGTCTTTTCGTTCATTTTACTTGCTAATAAACAGTTTAGGTCATTTATGAGTAATAATAATAATAATAATTCATTAAGTTTATTTCTATTATTCACAGAATGTATACATTTATTGTTTATTGAAATTAATTCTATTTATTTCTTTTTTTTCATCACAGAAAGAATTGATTTTTAAGTTATTGTTTTTTTTGTCGTTTGACTACACAAAATGACCAACTAACTAGACAGTTTTATTCACAATTAGATTCTTCTTAATAGAAAAAAAGAAAGAAAAAAATTTGTACAAGATATTTGTTGAGAAGTTCACTTTGGTATGTGTTTTTCTTTTCTAAAAATTTGTTCTTACCATCAATTTTCAACATCATTTTATGTAGGATTGTTAAAATCAGCAATGAAATGCAATATTTATTTGTCACCATAATATAGTTTCAATTTGATTGAAGTTAAAAAGAAAGTCGATCTTTGAAGATAAAATCTGTGATTAAAGCAATTTTTGGTGTTACTAATGATGATTGATTGTGTAGAGTTCTTTTTTGTTCGTTTGATGCTACCAGTTAGTGTTCTATTCCAATAAGTATGATAGTTATTTATTGTATTGGCATATTGAACAAGTGTTCTGAAATGAAAGAACACTGTAATTACTTTTAAACATGAAATTAATTGCATCCATATATATTTCTAAGGGGAAGTCGATGAAAAAGTTAGAAGGATCTTACATGTTTTCAACTGTTCAGGCTATTTGAAAAAACAATCCAACTTGTAATCGTTTACTTTTAGAGTTACACTTTCTTGTTAAAAAATAAAATACACATTGAGAATTGATTTCATTCTTAAAATGAATTTTATCATTGACTAGAAACAAGATACTTAGATTTTAATTCTATAACGTTAAAAACAGATCATTTGAATGAATTACATTTTGATTATGAAGTTCAATCAGCGAACAAATTCGAATGGATCTATATGATGATACTGAAGGGTTGTGAATATTGTTGAGCTTCATTGAAATCACGGATCGATCAATGTTAGACCACCATTAGGAACCCGAAAGCATCCATAATCCCGCCAGTGGAAATCGAACTCACCCCCATCATGGCAATTATGATGATGAAGGAATGTTCGTGAAAAGCCGTGGCCAGTGGAGTTCATGTATTTAGAGAGTAAGGCAACTAACCACCGAAGACAGTGGATGATGTTCACAAAAAACTGCTGATTGATTGAAGCTAGACATTGATATCGTTAGATGCCAGTTCAGTGGCTAAGAAGTTGTGAGTTCTGGTACGTGGTCGAATGTTCGAAGTTCGATTCCCGCTTGCGGAGTCATGGATGTGCACTGCTGAATGTTCCTGAATCTCAATGATTTCAAAGGTGTTTGAATTTACTCGAAAATTAAAATTAATTTTTTCCATGTATGAAGCTTCCCTAAAGATTTTACTTATTTAGACTAAATAAATTCATTTTTAAGAAATAGGTTAATTTCCCTTGATGTCACACTCGTGTAATCTCTTTTTGAAAAAAGGGAAGAAAACACTTAATTTTGATTGGATAAATAATAATTACAGAAATGGATTATAATTTTGTTTGACTATAAGGGCCAGGAAATTATTTGATTTGTCCAGTGTTTTGTGTATGTATGTAAATATTTAAATGCCAATGTTTAGTGCAGAAAAAATTCATACCTCATGAGGTTAAGCGAAGAAGAGAAGAGTTTCTACGCTTAACTATCTATGATGAATGTTAGGAATATTATATTTGTACATATGAATGAACAGACTGTCATGTATGTATGCGTAAATGACGATTTCTAACCATTAGCAAAAACTAGACAAGGGAGAAAGACAAATTAACATAATCCTACACATTACGACAATTTTCATTTATCGGTTGAAAAATGATTATTAGATTTGAAATCCTTTTTGTTTTGTCACAGAACTAATTCTATTCCTTTTCTTAAGATAAATAATTTCTTATAATTATACTAGACATGAAATCATCCCCTATTTCTAGCGTTAACCTCTTCACAAACAGTATACACATACACATTTAACAGAAGTTTTTAATCTTTCTTGCTCATTCGACAATTTTTTTAATTCTGATCATTTGAAAGAAGCAATGAGATGAAATTAAGTGTCAGTAGCATTTGAGAAAAGAAAAAAAAATTAATGTTTATCATAGACAACGAAATAAATATTTGTATTCAGTAATAATAATAAACTCTGACAGAAGTGAATAAATATCACTGAAAATAATACAATCATATTATACAATGGAATCTGTGAATTCAACCAGTTTTAATGTACCATCCTCTGACTTTTCTATAACATCTATATTGGATTCACAAATATGCTTATTAAACAATAGTAATAATAATAATAATAATAATAATGTGACTAGCGAATTAAATACTGACATAAAAAACCATATTCAGTTGGATGCGATTGAAACTGTTAACAGTAAGTTATATGATAATAAGTTTTGTTCTCTTTAAAGTTTACTTTACATTTATGATTAGGATTTTAATTTTCCTACAAGTTTATTGACCTATTTAAGTTTAGTTTACCTATAACCATACTTTTGAATAATAATAGTTACAATCTACGGAAATTTTTTAGATAAGCAATTATTAATGATTTTCAAGAGTTAAATGAAATTTTATTGAACATATTTCTAAAAATAAAGTTTTCGTTCATCTAGTTGTAATAAATGCATGTTTTGTTTCATTTTAAAAGATACATCTTATGAGTGTACCATGATGATATATTTCATAAGGTGATGTCATTGAGATCACAGCGACGCTTCTATGTGAAATAAATGCTGTAGTCTGCCGCGATGACAGTGAGAGCTTCTGGAGTAAACCACCTAAATCAGAGAACATAACCTGGGTTACAGATGTTCTCTATCTTTTTTTAGTGATGATTTCATTCATGCATCTGAACAAAGGTTCATTTGAATAGATAAAGGGGATCTTCATTAGTAAAAACTAAACATCAGTACCGAATTTTCTGGTCTTTAGAGCTGACTCAAACTTTATTGATCATGTTTATTGATAGATTACACTTGATATCGGATAGTTATAATAACCTTTGACAACTTCACAGTTTTACTTGTTTCTAATTAGTTAATTATACTTATAGTTCAGTTAAACTAGTTACAACTAATACAACCCGACTTGAGTATGTAAACTAACAGATCAGTAGAATTCTGGATGCAAGTACATAGGAAATGAAGTTCTGCAATTTTCAAAGTTGGTATAATTGAACTGGCACTAGAACGTCTGGAGTTTATCGATAAGCCAGCCACCAGTTAGCAGGCGGTTAATATCGACGTTTGTAAAGATTAATCCGATTTTTAGCTAACTTTCATCATTTATCCCAAGTATGACTCATGTCATTTGTAATTGCGGTCTGTAAAAACGTTTTCGATATTCATTCGCACTTAGACAAAAGATACTGATTTAAGCAGTTTTTAGTAGTGTAACTTAAAATTGATTTCCGTCACGCACTAAAGTTAACTTCCGAACTGTTGTAAATCGAGTCACCATTGGATAAATAATTTAATGTAGTTTAAGATTATTCAGATGTAAACAGTCACGAATGCCTTTCTGCTTTATATCCCTTTAAATAAGAATGATAGTATTTACTGACACGATTGGACATCATAACCTAGTGAATAGGGTACTTAATTCAGTTGCGTACTGAATTACTCGTTTCAAATAATAACAAACTTAGAGATCTAATTAGCCATACATTTAGAAATATTAAGTTTTCACTAGTCCTCTACTTTACAACAATTCATAATGAAAATAACCTACAAATTAAATGAAACTGCTGTAAATTTTTTCTTGAATTCATTAATTGTAGATTTTAATTGCTCTAATTTATCACCGAAATCGATAACATTGACAAGACTAAATCAGTAATAGTATTTTTTATAAACTGTTTCAAATGTGATGTGAATTTTCAGATGCCTAGATGACATACCGTTGGATATTGAGTTCAGCGTTTTCTTATGACATAACATTGTAGAAGTTAATGTTAAGACACTGTAGTCATAACTAATCTTCATGATTTCAAGTTCTTTTATTTTACAGATGATTACTTTTTTATTCTCTTTTGATTGTCAAGCATTATTACACACGTTATTAGCTGTGTTATAAAATTATGGGCATATACAGCACAGCAGAGTATTTCTAGATCTAGAAGAAATTGGTTTGAATTCATGTGTTAAGACTATTGAAGAGAGTGAAACTAATATCACTAGTTTTTTAATTGTACTGCAGCAGACTTTAATCCATGGTGATGTCGTTTGTAGTATTTGTAAGACCAAACATAAAAAGATCGTTAAACATATCATGTCATTAGTTCTTCAGATAAAATTAAGATTATTTTTCTGGAATACATCAAGTTTTCTATGCCTGTACCTTATGAAACATTGTTATATAGGAATTACTTATATTTTGAAGTCATAAGTAACTATGATGAATGATATGTGATTTTTTGTTATATAACTATTATGATTTTTTCTTAACTTTACTGCCATGAACGAACTGAATTTCTGGCAATATCTCGGACTTACACATTGATAATTATACACTTGAATATTTGCGAAATTGTTTACTAATCTCCTCGGCTACGTTTGACTTATTTAAGGAAGTAAATTACAAATATTTCTATTGAGCAGATTTCATTTATTTTTGTGTCTATCCATTATGATAAAATATTTCTAAAATATAACTTTTGAGTGTCAGTAGAGAGGCGAATTGTGATGATTTTTGAATACATGTTCTCTCATCACTTAGTGACTTTTGCTAGAAAACCTTTTAAAAGTTAGGAAGCACCGAATAGATGCTTCATCTTAAAATGTGACTCTGCAGAGTTGCTCACCTACAATCCCACCTACGGATCAAACACTGAAATTTTCTAGATATCCAGTACCACACACTTTTAATTTCAATCAGTTCATAATAATACATAAGTATCATCGGTGTTCTGTTGTTTTTTCAATCTAAATGAAATTATTTTTGATATAATTTTAGTATTAAATTAAATTAAATGGTACTACTCATTTTTTTACAGATTAGCTAATTGGTCTTACTCGCATAATGTTTGTTAAAAATTCTTAATTAAAGTTGTCTCATTATTACTCTTAATAACATAAAGTACAACTAATTTAGAATAATTAATAATGATTGTTATTCATGCGAAAAAAACGATTACATATCTATTCAGTTTAGAATAAACAATAAAATTATAATATCTATTTAGTCATTTGTTGTTTTGTTTTTTTCTATTGAATAAAAAGAAAAAAGGTTGAATATTTTTTTTTTAAAAAGTGGTATTTCAGCAATTTTTATTTTTAAACCTATTTTCTTTTAGATGACTGTTCTAAAACCAATTATTTACTTTTAAAAAAAGTGACCATTGAAAAATGAATGTATTTATCAGGTTGTTTGTCCTTATTCTTCTTCATTTCAAACAACTTATAGTGGTATTTTTGATGTTTAATTAAGAAACAAACAATCTCATTATATTATTTTAAAAAAAAATTTACAATGTATAAAACCTGATCTCATAGATTCTTTTTTTTAATGCTTATGCTTATGTAGTTGTACGACATCTGAGTAGGTAGGTGTAGAAGTGGTTAAAAGTTATAGTATACTTGTAGAATACTGTTTGATAGTTATGATCTGATTTCTATGAAATATTATCATTCACATTCATGAAAACATGGTATAATTATACCGAAATTATAAACTCATCAAATGAGTCTTTATCATTTTAACTATTTATTTATTTATTTAACTTACATGTTAATTGGATTACTTTTGTATGTTAATGAATTGTAGATAATTTCACTGATATTCCATTGTCTACAACATTGTGCTCAAATCCGAAAGTTACAAATCTATTTATGCCACCAGATACTACTATTCAGGAAGTGAATACTAATATTAATAATACTTCAACTATTAACAATTCAAGTCAGCTAAGGATTTCAACTACATCGTCATCACAATCCACCTCCTGCTCAGCATCATCACCCATTAATAAATTAACAAATAATACTATGGATAAATCATTATATTTAACTACGATTGATATGTTGCACAGAATGTTAACCAATAATACAACAACAACAAATCCAACTATTTTATTGTCAGATCTTGTCAGTAAAATGTATTCTGAGAAAAGTGAAAAATTATTGACACCATATAATCTATTAGAATTGTCAACTATTATGCTTAATAATAATAATAATAATAATAATAAATCGAATGTCACAAAAACTGATTCATCTCCTCTATCACAAATTATATCGACGACACTATGGAATGATATAATAAATTATGAAAAATCTTTCAATGCAACAACACAAATCACTTGTAATAATAATAATAATAATAATAATAATAATAATCAAAATGCTACTACTGTAACCAGTGCAACCACCAATGGTGCCATTTCAACAACGAATACAACAAATACAACAACTACTAGTAATGATTACAATGTTGTTAGTAAAAATGAACTACTCTCATGGTTACAAAATTGTAATCTGCCAAATATTGCAAATAAAACTGATACAACACCTATTGATATAACATTGAATAGAATTATGAATCCAGTGAATAATCTTGTAAATATACCAAGTACTAGTTCATCATTACTTAATAAAAATAATAATAATCTCACTGTGAATGAATCAATATCCGATTATAGTAATGATATAAATCATATTAAAAATATTAATCAAATGAATAATCAATGTTTGATCAACAATAATAATGACAATCATAATAATAATAATAATAATAATAATAATAATGAATTAGCACATTTTGTAAATTTATTAAATTTTCATAGTCGTCTATCCACTGAATGTTCAACATTGAATTGGTCAAATGAAACACCACTATACACAGTGAATAGTTCAAATTATCCTGGAACTATAACAACACCAGTAATTATTCCTTCTAATAATCCATTACAAATACCATTTCAAAATTGTGAAAGTCATACAAATGATCGTCAACAAACAGTTAAGAATAACATAGAGAAAGAGATTAAAATTAATAAATCTGCTAATAGTAGTAGTGATAATATTGACAAATATGTTGATGAAGATATGAGTGATATTGAAAATAATTCAAAAGGTGATGAATTTATGTCGCCAAATACACGAATGAATAATTTTTGGCCGAATACAGATGATTTAACTATTGATCATCAAGGTGGGTAAGATTGTTACTCATTCATTCACTCATTCACTCACTCAGTCACTCAGTCACTCACCCACTCATATGCGTAATGTATGACTATAATTTTAATGAAACATATTCGTGTGCGTTATATAGTTGTAATATATTGTGTAATACATCGTTATTTTAGGAAAGTAGTTCAAATATATAAATTCCAGGTCAAGTTTATAATGTGATCGATAATAAGTTGGTGAATAATGCGTAACTAAAATAACATATCATTAAGATTTCGAAAAGTTACAATATTTTCAAGTATAGTTGATTATTTAAATGATTTGGATTTGTAAATGTATGATTTTCATTGCAAATTTTAAGATATAGGAATTTTCTCGATTTCAATGAGTTATTGAATAATTGTTATTGTCAATAAAGTAAATAACTTAATTATTCTAATTATAATTAAAGATAAATGAAACATCAATGAACTTTGAGAAGGAATCGAATATAAATTTTTTTTTCCTTTACATTATAGCGAATGAAATGAATAACACTGGAACCGATGATGAAATGGATTATAAAACAGATTTAAATTCAAAATCATTATCTATTCAATTATTACGAAGAAAAAAGAAAACACGTACTGTATTTTCAAGAAATCAAGTTTATCGGCTGGAATCAACTTTTGCTTTGAAACGTTATTTGTCTAGTTCTGAACGTGTTGGTTTAGCCAGAACGCTACAGTTAACAGAAACTCAAGTGAAAATTTGGTTTCAAAATCGTCGTAACAAATGGAAACGTCAAGTTACTGTTGACTACAAGCCAACAAATGACAATCATTCAGATGATATAATTTCTTCCAGATCAAGTGGAATTATACTGCCATCAACGATTATTGGACAGACAAAATTACCAACATCTGTAACAGATTTTGATCCATCATCTATTCATGTTTCTGGAAGCATTGGATCATCGTTTTCTTTGAATAATTTTATGAATACATCACCAGCGATCGAATCATGGGTAGCTAACAATTATATTCAGCCAAATATTATGAATCCTAATTATTTTCCAATTAGTAATCACAATAAACACTTATTGCCACCATGTAGTAATAATTATCTTTCAAAGAATCACATGAAACTAGATTCATATCCTTTGATGAATATCAGCCAACAAACTACATCTGCAAGTGATAATATCCACCCTACAGATCTTAGCATTTCTTCATGGTCTCATGGTAACGCCAATTTAGATGTTGATGCGTCTAGTCATTCACAGAAATCATCCATTTCTCCATTATCTTCATCTTCATTATGTGCATCAGCAACTTTACCTCAAGTGTCCAAAGACATTATTCCTAGTTCTTCTCTTCCTTTTCCTCTCTCTTCTTCCTTATCGTCATCGGATATTTTATTATCATCTGGAGTAAATGTTAATTCATACACGAATCCAACATTTACTGCATCGAACTTCGATAATCGATTGTCTAGTTTAGAAACAATTCTGTTTAATCAAACTCTGAATAAAAATCCGGGTAATATTGATTCATCAGATTTATCTAATCTACTTGAAGTACATCGTCGAATTTTAAAAGACGATGTAGATCAAAGTAAAATTATTGCAGCGTTAAATGCAGTTGCGACAAATCTTTTAACACGCATTATATGAGATTGATGATCAATGATGAATTATTCGGTTATCCAGTGTTCATCTTATTGCGACAAAAAACAGTGATAAATTTCTCCTAGATGATTGGAATATCGATCTTTTCAATTAATATTTGTTCAATCATATTAAAAATAAATTTGACTTGTAGTTAATTTGTAGTCATTTACTTTGAAACTTATTCTCATTCTTCACTCTTTTATGTACGTTCATCGTATAAATAAATATTCACTATCAATAGTATTATTTTATGATGTTCAACGTCTAGTCTTGATTCTGTTGTTTTATTCTTACATACAGGTCACATTCATTAGAATAAAATAACAATGTATTAATCTCAAATACTTTATTATTTAACTTGTGTTCTTGTGTACTTTTATAATTTTTTCAGAAATATATATATATAAATATATATTATTCATACAAAGCTCATTTGTTTATTTCATAAAAAATGATTATTTGTCAGTAATTGTAATAATGACTGATAATGACTAGATAATTAACTGCACCAGATTTCACATTTATTGATTTATTATTCAATTGAAACTGTAAAATTAAGATAATCAGTGTTCATATACAAAAATATAGTTCAGAAGATCTGAAAAACAATTAGAGAAAGTTGTAGACATAAAATATTATGAAAATTAAATTTTCCCGAAATTCAATCAATAACTTCCTAATCAAGTACAATCATTTGGAGTGTGAAGCGGTATTGTCGATGACACTAGATGATCGCTGCGATTTATTAGGAGTTGAATAGAGTCTAGAATTCAGAACACCATATTTCGACTTGTCAATCTAGAAAGAACAACCATATCATGAGCAATGTAGCGGCGACTGTAGGTATTCAATAATGAAGCGCTTCAAAATGAGATGAAATAGATGTTTAACGTTCTTATTCACTTCGAGAGTTGAACTCAGTCCTGAGTGAAAACGTTGTTCAGATTGAATCGATCTTCGCAGATGAAAAGTTAAAACCTTAGATTACGACGAGCAGTGGAATGTAAGACATTCATTTAGTTCTGTCTTGAGACTAGTCAACAGGATGTCAATGGTTTTTACACGGAGAATCGAACTCACAACCTAGACCAGTTTTTCTTCTATGACATGAAACCATTTATTCATTTAGATAGTTGAACTTTACTGTTTCAGACACACAAGTTTAAGTATATTCTAGAACAGCCAGAAATTTATTGCTAGATATTTACCATTTTTTATTATCTCTGTCATCACGACTATGTTGAAAAGGAAAATAACATGCAGAAACAAAAGAAACTATATTTTATGCGAATATTCGTCAATATTTGAACAATTAGTTTGACTATGGTCATATCAACTGGGTATCAAGATCTTGTAATCGACTGACTGTTGTTCATAAACTTTAACAACAAATTATTAAGATAGATCATTCTAATTTGTTCTTCAAAAAGTTGTTGAAATCAATAAAACTGAAAAATTAGCGTCAGTAATGTGGCTAAAACTTAATTTTCATTCTTTCAAGCACAATTACAGTATTTGAATAGTTATATCATCTAAGCTCACAAAGTTCCGATCCATTAGGTGACTTATGTCCGAATCACAGTTTCTATAGAAAATGTTTCTAGCTATTTTAATTTAGTAGACTTGTGTAATGAAAGTGATCCTAGGGCTAAAAAGATTCATTTTTTATTACTTGGACGTATAGAACTTAATGCAATCAATAAAATTAACCGATAAAAAGTAAGACATAGCCTCAAATGGCCATAATTTTCAAAGAGCTTTCGTACATAATATATGTTTCAATGATTAGACTTAGCTCATGTGATTTTTTATACACTACAATTTAGAAATGAATCTGAGTAAACTACATTGACAACTTTAATACTTACTTACTTACGCCTGTCACCCAAATGGAGCATAGGCTGCCGACCTTCATTCTCCAGCATACTCCGTCCCTGGGTTTCCCTTTCTGGTTCAACCAAATTTTGTTCATTCATCCCAGGTCTGTCTCCATTTGTGTTTTTTGGTCCTCCTCTTTTACCTTGACAGTGAGGGTTCCAATTTAGGGCTTGTCCTATAACGTAGTTGGGTGCTTTCTGCAATGTGTATCCTGTCCACTTCCAGAGCTTCTTTCTGATTCCTTCCTCCGCTGCACTCTGCTTTGTTCTCCCAAAGAGTAGGTTGTTGCTGATAGCGTCTGGCCAATAGATCCGAAGTATTTTGCATAGACAAATGTTCATAAATACTTGTATCATCTGGATGATGGCTTTGGTAGTTCTCCAAGTTTCCGCAGCATACAGTAGAACTGTCTTGACATTTGTATTGAAAATGCTGGTTTTGGTTTTAGTTGAAAGTTGTTTGGAGTTCAGTTATAGAACTACTGCCCTTACTTTTCAATATGTGTCCTCACATCTGCATCAGATCCACTTTGCTCATCAATGATGTTACACAGATATGTAAAGGTTTTCACATCTTCCAAAGCCTCACCGTCAAATGTGATATGGTGTTGTATCGAAGACACCCGTTTTTCCCTTCAAGTATGTTGAGACCTACTACTAAAAAGGCTGTTGGTACACTGATAGTCTTTTCCTACGTTTGTTGTTGCGTGTGTTATAGAAGAGTTTGATCATCTGCAAAGACTAGACCATCCAGCTGCATTCTAGCGGTCTACCGTTTTCTGCACTCTCCCTTAGACGTTAATGTCTTCATAATTCAGTCGACCACCAGGAGAAGGAGAAAGGTTGCTAGTAAGCCTTTTGAAATTCTAGCCGATTTATAGCCTAGTGCTGCTGTGTTCATTTCTGACCCTAATGGTTACATCTCTCTATTAGAACTTTAGATCACATATATTAAAATCAAGCAGAACTAATTAATTACAGATTATTCAATTGAGATTTTTTTAGTGACAATTAGAATTTTCTTTTGTGATTCTTTTTTCCGCTCACACTTAAATATACACATTAAAGAGCCGCTACTTAACAATGAGTTGATTATTATCAATGAGTTAAATACACCACTTGTCATTTCATGTTTATATCATAAAACATTTTTTTTAATTTGGTTTATTAAATCCTTTTCTTTCTCTGACATTTCATGATTATTTGTTATTGATCGAAATGCGACAAATAAAAATGTGTTCACTTCAATCTACCATTGTGTATGATCATGAATACGATTAGTTAAACTTACCTAACTAACTAACTAACTCAAGTTTTTACAACAAAAGCAGATAAATGTAACAGTATTTCTCTTCTCTATTTTTTTGATGAGGATTTTCAATTTATGTTCTTTGAAATTAATCTTTGTTTGTGTGTGTGTGTGTTCATTAGAATCGCTGTTTTCATTGTCACCATTATTATTATTGTTATTGTAACCATTAATGTGACTGACACCATCATCCCCACCATCATTTCTCATCATCCAGCAGTCATTAACAGCCCATTTTACAACCGTCATTATCATTATATGATCATCATCGTCATCATCACGCCAAATTATTGCACGCAATTAATTAAATATATGAAGGTTAAGTGAATCGTGTAAAGATATTTTTATTAGAATTTGAAAAAATAAATAAATAATTGTTATAAAGTAGCGTAACCATTTTAGTTGACACAGAATTATCAGATCATAGTTCAATGATCTTATCTATCAAGTTAACTGGATATATATATATATATATATATATATATATATATATATATACATAGAATCCAATAAGACTAGTTAAATCTTCGTTACTTGTTTATGGTTTTCATTTCTTTTTTCTTTTTAGATTTTTTTTGTTAAAAACAAATTAACAGTTGTTCGTCTTTGTCTCTTTGTTTGAATTAGCTAATTTTAAAATGAAACTCAACTGTGAACATATTTATTCATCTTTCATTATTATTATTATCATTACATGGACTTAGCATGTGTTTTTGATTGATTAGTTAGTGAAAATCTCAGTTCATTATGTCTACATGAAAGTTCCGGTGAGTTTTTTCTTTACCTTAAAATAACACCATTCAATTGTCAATGTAAACTTGCACCATTTAAAGAAACATTGAGAACCATATCATACTGAAAGAGTTCTTTTGCACTTGTTTAACAACTTTTATTATTGAGAACTATCAACGCTTCTTAAAAATTTTGCATTTTTGAATAAAATCTACCTTTTTTCTTCAACTCTAATTTATAGTCTCTGTTCAATAGTGAATCTAATCGGTTTCTAAAACTATTGTGAGTTAGGCGGGGTTTTGGATCTGTAACTTATTAACTATCATTCAAACTTTTCAACCATTATTTTATGGCTTTAACAGTACTTATAAACAATGACTAAAATTAACAATTATTCAATCCCTACTTTACAACTATTTTATTTTTAAATAATCTATTAAGTCATGAAACATTAATATTAAACCGTATTAACTATTATTGAATTTCAATTTAAATATAGTTCAATGCAAAAGAAGTAACTGCTGTATTGAATGATAGAAGACAAATGATGGATTTATGATGAATTATCTCCTTAGAGATTTTCAATATTGAGTTTGTGAAAACTATCTACAAGTGTAATCTATGCATCACAATAAATAAATAGACAAGTTCATTTATCTGTCTCAACTAATTTTGAATTTTGATTCATCAATATGTCCGTTAGCATCATGTGCTGCATACCTCATTATATCTATCAAGATTATTAGGTGTCTTTTGAAATTATTTTTTTTTCGAAACTTTTCTAATCACATGTCAATAATGAATGACCTAGTTAAGAATTGTGAAACAAAAGAAATTGAATTACCATCAATTTGTTCTATGAATTAAGAAAAAAAAAAGTGGTAGTTACAACTATGAAATTATTTTTGGAGACATTGAAATTCAATTTTACATATTTTATAAAAATTTAAATTGATAAGGCATCTACGATAACCTTATTGTCTTCGAAATCATTTACAATCGTACGATAGTTTTGGTAGATTTCTTCTGTAACTTTTTGATGATTTTTTTTCACAGATTTAAGATCGCAAACTGATCTTCATTAG